GAGGGTGTCAGATCCCCTGGAACTGGGGTTACAGACAGCTGTGAGCCGCCATGTGGGTGCTGCGAATTGAAGCAGGGTCCTCTGCAAGAGCAGCCAGTGCTCTTAACCCCTGAGCCATCTCTCCAGCCCAGCTTGGGTTTTTCTACAGTTGTTTCTCATCAAGAAAACATACAAGATCAGTATAGAAGGTGTTTCATGGTTGTGCCTCTTTTTTTCTTTCCATTTTCTCCTTACTTTTCCATTTGAAAGGACCTGTGTAAGGATAAGATACCAGAAGACCAAGTTCTCAGCACAGTCTCAAAACAAAGATTTATTTGCCCCATAGGGACGAAGGACAGGGAATAAGGGACAAAGACAGAAAATAAAGGACAAGGGAGAAGGAAAAGGAACAAGGGTGGGTGGGGGTGGTGGGAAGTGGGGGGGGGATACTTACTCTGGCCAGACAAAGGACTGCTTCTGGATACAGAGGAGACAAACATGGCCCACAGGCAAATGACAGTTCATAAAGGGAAAAAGAGAAATCCCATGTTAGAATGAATTGGTTTGTTTGCTTTATTTGGGTATGTTAATTAAGTGAGTCAAAGGGGGCTTTTAATTTCTGGGCTTCTCATAGCTGAACCTTGGTGGTCAGCCTCAGGAGGAGGAAGTGGGAATAAAGGAATAAAAGACCTTGGCGGACAGCTTTAGGAATATAATCTCAGTATTTAGCAAGAGGAAGATGGGGGTTGAGCAATGCTTGCTGGAGCTATTTTTGCCATGCTCAGGCCTTCTAGAGCCCTTCCACATCACCCAGAGAAGACAGGCTGTTGGAGACTCAACCTCCTGACCAATGAGACTGTTGTGCATTAGCTGAGAGCGTGTTTTCATCCTTTCTTTTGTTTGCTTTCAGCTAAAACTCCCGAACTATCTTGTGTTATTTTTAGTTTCCTTAATAGGTCATTGCACCTGTGTGTTTGACCTAACATTCTTTTGACTATCGGTTAAAACCTTTAAACTGCATTCTTGTTAGACCACTAAATTTCTCAAAGATAAAAATATCATAAAATAACATCTAAATTTTATAATAAACTTTATTGTAACCTGTTGATGATTATTAATATTTATTATTGATATATCTTTAGTTAAACAGCAGTTATTCCTCAAACAGCTGTATACCCAAATCACCACACAGAAACTAGGATTTATTTAATTAACCTAGAGCACAATGCTGGGTAATAATTACTCCATCCTAAACCTTGAAGCCCACATAGCTTCCTTCCATTCAGATTTCCCACATTATACTTAATATTTAGTCATATCTGAGGTCTGGTTCATTGCTCCTGGTATTTCCAGGTCCTCTCCTCTCAGATCTTTCTCCCAGCCTCTCCTCCTGCTCCCTTCTTTTCTCACCCCCTCTGGACCAAGATGTTCCACCCTATTCTTTCCATTGCACAGCATTGGCTGGTTGTTTTATTGGCAACACAGAGAACAAATGGTATTATGTTTACACAAATTTGAGACAGGTGATTGCCTCACAGTGCAAAGTCCAAATGGAAACCAGATAGTGGGGTAGAGAAATCAGCATCTGAATGAACAAGGGTAAATTGTATACATTCCAAAAGAACATTATACCAACAGTAACCCTGTGGTTTCTAACAATATTTTTTTGCAAATACCTTAATCTATGACTTCCTTTGTTCTGCAATAAAATTTCATAGAACTGCTTCCATGGTGAAGAATTTTATCTGCTATGGTTTACTTAAGCCAAAGTTCCTGGGACTCATGGAATTGCTTACTTTTATTTGGCTCAAGATAAATGATTTCTTAGTCCCTCTAAGGTAAGAGCTGTATTTCACATCAACATAAAGAAGACATACTACTATAAAACCAGGAAGAATTTGTTTGTAGCTAGTTCTAGACTCTGAACTACAAGTGTGATGTTTGTTGGGAAAAAGCTGTATATTACTGCTGAACTGGGTTAAGATGGGTTGTCTTTGGTTAAGATGGCCTCTCCATTATCCTCTGAAGAGTTAGAAGCATGGGTGATATTCTGGAAATTTCAGGCTCCTCCTTGGACTAAGATTCTTCCTTTTTTTTTCTTTCTTTCTTTTTTTCTCTCTCTTTCTTTCTTTCTTTCTTTCTTTCTTTCTCTCTTTCTTCCTTTCTTTTCAAGACAGTTGCTCTGTGTAGCTTCTGGGAATTTCAGGCTCCTCCTCGGAATAAGATTCTATATATGTGTGGTATGCATGTATATAAGTAGGTAGGTAGGTATGCATGTATGGATTGCTTTTTCAAGACAAGTGTTTCTCTGTGTAGCCTTGGTTGTCCTGGACTTGCTTTGTAGACCATACTGGCCTTGAACTCAAAAAGACACTCCTGCCTCTGCCTTCCTGAGTGCTGGGATTACAGGCCTGCACCACTGCACCCAGCTTTTTTTTTTTCTTAAACTGGTATTCCCAGGCAATCTCCTATTCAAGTACTAACCAGGTCTAACCCTACTTAGCTTCTGAGATTAGAGGAGATCGGGCACATTCAGGGTGGTATGGCCATAAACTATTTTATTTTAAATTATTTTTTTATTGAGAATATTTTAAAATACAATATATTGTGATCATGTTTCCTCTTTCATCTCTTCCAAGATCCTCCCCTCTTCCTCATCCATTTGAGTCCATACCTCCTTTCTGTCTCTTTAGAGAGCAAAGAGGTGGATCCAAACAAAGCAGAAATAAAAACAAAACAAAGAAAAAGCACAAGGAACACACACACCATAAACTCATAAAAATGACAGAATTGGAAATCGTAATATACAAACAAAAAACCAGTAAGATAAAAAAAAAAAAATACCCAAACAAGCCAGGCAGTGTTGGTGCATGCCTTTAATCCCAGCATTCTAGAGGCAGAGGCAAGCAGAGTTCAAGTCCTTGTCTAGAGTGAGTTCCAGAGCAGCCAAGACTAGACAGGAAAACCCTGTCTTGAAACAACAACAACAAATCTACACAAATACTCTTGAGTTCATTTTGTGTTGGCCATGTACTGCTAGGCACCTGTCTTATCCACAGGCATGTTTATAAACTCAGTGAGAGTCTATTGGAGAAAACTGGTTTTTCCTTTGCAAGCCATTGTCAATATTTTGAGTTTCTGACTTGAGTTTTCTAGAAAACTGTTCAGTGAATTTTGATTGGGGGCAGGGCAGGATTTCCATCACTTTCTAAAATGGCCCCAAATGTACTTCAGTCTTTTGTTCTACATATCTATGTGGCGTGACATTCTCAGTGCTGGTTTATAAAATTAATATGTCAATCTATGAAGAAAAACACTGCAGATGCTCTATTGTGAAGTATCCGATAGTCAACAAAATTAGCTTTTTATGTAAGAATAAACAAACACCATCTATTTCTCTAGTATGCAAATGTATTTTAATTTTACATAAGTGATAAAATTATATCTATACCAAAGAATTGTTTAAAAACAAATTGATGTCTTTTTAGAACACAGGCCTTAACCTTTAGGCCAGATCCCACACCCTGAAGCAGGCCATGCTCCCCTGCAGCTCTCTCTGGAACAGACTTTAAGCATCTGTGCTATGACTTGAGAGATCTCCATTTATGACAGCAGACTTTGTGTCAAACATGTTGTGTTGAGTAGATCACTCCCTGCCAGCCCCCCAAAACTTAGAAAAGTTAGATTTCTCTATTGTTCTGGGGATTGGTCTAAAGAATTCTCAGGGAGATTCCTCAGAAGACTCCTCAGTGGATCTGTCCCTGCAAACACCCACTCCTCACATGGTGAACGGCTCTCAGCTGTCTCTTTTTTCGCCCTCAATTCTTCCCTTAGTTTCTTTTCCCCCTAAGTTTATTTAGATTTGTTGATTTATGTGTATGAGTGTTTCACCTGCATGTATGTAAGTGAATCTCAGGAAAGCCCGGTGTCCTTGGAGGTTAGAAGAGGGCATTAGTTTCCCTGTAACTAGAGTTACTACTGATGGTTGTGAGCCACTGGGCTCTTAACTCTGGAAGAATCTGTTCAGCTCCCTTATTCTTGTTTTTAATGATGCTCTCATTCATGTTTTAAATGAAAGCCCATGTAAGCTCTGTCTGTCTCTCCAATCATTGTTTCTTCTCAAGTACATTATACCATCTTGCCTAATCATTGTAAGAGACTTCATTCCTGAAAGAAATTGTGTCTAAGCTTTCTGACTGCACCTGCTCTTCTTTCTCTTCATTTAAGTGCTATCACTAAGTATTGAATATACCTAGATACTTGCTGGTGCATCAGACATCCTGGTTTACTGTAGACCTCATCATTAACCACCTCATGCCACACAGGAGCCAGAAGGTTAGCGAATGTCGACACCTGCTGGTAATTTGGGGAAACTACGGCCTACATCATTCTACAAGAAGCTGTGCATACCGTGTTACCAAGCATTCTTGAGAACTTCCTGGGTTTGGACTAGTCAATTGGTATCATAAATAAATTCCTGTCACTAGCCCAACCTCCACATTTGATTTAATTTTACTATTGTCATGCTCTTGGTAATAAAATGATCTCCTTTTTATATTCTAGAGCCCAAATCCCTAGGGATGTGGGAATAAAGCTGTGCCTGACACACACAGGTTATGGTGTTAATCAAATATTTTCTTTCTTTTTTCTAAAGATTTATTTATTTATAATTTATATCGTATTCTGTCTGCATTTGTGCCTGCTCACAAGAAGAGGGTACCAGATCTCAACTATAGGTGGCTATGAGCCACCATGTTGTTGCTGGGAATTGAACTCAGGACCTTTGGAAGAACAGCCAGTGTTCTTAACCTCTGAGCCATCTCTCCAACCCCCAATCAAGTATTTTAAAGTTATCTTCTTGTAGATCAAAACCAGAGGCAGTTGGTTTTGATGAACCTAGTAGTAGATGAACCTAGACAGTTAAATGCTCTAAGTCCTATTTTAAATTAAAAACAAAACAAAACAAAAAAACCAGCTGTTGACTGCTTTGCAGATGCCACTGTCCCATGTCTTGGCTTGCTGCAGCTATGGTCAACACTATGGTGTTCTTCACCATTGCGGCCACTGGCGAGCCCTAGGGCCACGTCTCCTTCTAGCTGTTTGCAGACGAAGTTCCAAAGAGAGCACAAAACTTTCATTTTCCAAGCACTGGAGAGAAAGGATTTGAATATAAGGGTTCTTCCTTTCACAAAGTTATTCCAGGATTCATGGGTCAGGGTGGTGACTTCACAGGCCATAACGGCACTGGTGGCGGGTCCATCTATGGGGAGAAATTTGAGGATGAGAACTTCATCCTGAAGCACACAGGTTCTGGCATCCTGTCCTTGGCAAATACTAGACCAAACACAAACGGTTCCCAGTTTTTTATCTGCACTGCCAAGACTGAGGGGCTGGATGGCAAGCATGTGCTCTTTGGAAAGGTGAAAGAAGGCATGAACATCGTGGAAGCCATGGAGCGTTTTGAGTCCAGGAATGGTAAGACCAGCAAAAAGATCTCAGTGTTCAACTGTGGACGACTCTAATTCTTTTGACTTGTGACCATCTCACCCAGCAGACCATTCCTTCTGTAGCTCAGGACAGCACCCCCATCTCATTTGCTCAAAGTACCCTGTGATCTCTGCTCTCACTGAAGTTCTCTAGGTTCCATATTTTCCTCATTTCCCTCCAAGTCTAGGTGGATTGCAGAGTTTAGTTTATGATTATGAATAAAAAGTAAATAAAAAAAAACAGCTGTTGACTATTGACAGACATATATGTTATTAGAGGGCCAGGCCGGCGGGGGGGGGGGGTTCACTTTCCACTGACAAGTTTAATTGGCTGGTGTTTACCATACAGCATTGTCCTTTCTTAAAACTCTTACTGTGTTTTGAAGATGCATGCATCCTGTGGTAGCCCAAATTATGAACTTGCTCATTAGATGTCTTTTTTGTCTTATTTAATACAGGTGCTAGAAGGGGCTGGAAAGAATTATGGAGTTTGATCTGGGCAAACAGTACCACTTCATTTTTATAGCCTATTCTGAACTGGTTGGAGAAGTACAATAGAAAGAAAACTCTGTGCCCCAAATGCCGTGCTGTACAATAGCAGTGGTTATATAACAGACAGTGGCTTTAGGTCTTTTAGATATGGCTTTCTCATTCTAGGCTCAGAATCATGCAGTCTTACCTGCCCAATCATGGTATGCCTCCCTGGGGTAGGTCCAGGGAATACGGATTAGGCTCTAATTGTGACAGTCCAAAGCTGAAGCACGGCAGAGCTAAGCCATTGAATCTTACAAAATATACCAAATATTTTAAATCTTTCTGGGTGATGAAAAGAGGTTTAGGGTGAGAGAAAGATGCTCATGGCTGGTGAAGACTATAGATGTCATTCAGTGAACTATCTTTTCATACAGATGCAATAGAATTCAAGAACCGATAGAGATTTTGTTCCAAGCTCTCAAAAGCCTAAGCCAATGTTGCAGCTATCCTGATTTGAGCCAGAGCTCCAGCTGTATTCTACTATCCTGTTCTTGTACAAGAAGGGTAAGGTGTTGTTGAACTTTAGAACTTGTCGGCTTAGGGATCTGGTATGAGGGGAGGCAATAGAATGAGTGTGCAGAGTAAAGAAGAGACATTTAGTATTTCAGATCAGTGAATTTCAGACTCAAGCCCTCCTATCCTCATAGCTCCACTCAGTGTCAAAAGAAGGAATTGTTTTTCATTTTATAAAGGTTATGATAAAAAAAACTTGTAAATAAATAAAAACACCACACACCCAAATTAGCCAGACCCAATGTCTACATCACTCAGTGAACTTCTATACCGTTAGAATAGGCATTTTGAACATTAGCTTTGACGCTTTACTGAATTTTGTACTTTCACAAATATATGAAATTTGTATAAAGTATACTGGACACTGAACATATAAAAAGAAAAAAAAGAGTCAGGAGTTTTTGAAGTCCCTTTTGTACTACGATTTTCCAAAAACAAAACAAAACACAGAACCAATAGGATGTATATGTATGAAAAGTGATTATAAAGAAATTTCCAGCCTGGAATGGTGGAGCATGCCTGTAATCCCAGTACTCAGGGAGACAGAGACAGGCTGATCTCTGTGAGTTCGAGGCCAGCCTGGTCTACAACCAGGCAAGGCAACACAGAGAAACCCTGTCTCAAAAAACAAAACAAAACAAAACAAACAAAAACAAAACAAAACAAAAATAACGTGAGAGAGAGAGAAATTGCCATATGTGATTTGGGTAAGCCCCAAATCTGCAGCAGTGTGAGGGAGACTCAGGTGAAGTCAGACAGTGACTGCAGAAGCCTTTCCTCCTGCTCAAGGAGGCTGGATGTTCTGTTCAGTCTTCAGTTGATAGGATGAGGCTCAGTAGCATCATGTGCAACAATCTGAATTATGCTCTTTCAATGATTTAACTGCTAATTTCATTTAAAAACATCTGTCAAGTCCACACAAAAAATCAAAGAGCACAGTAATTTATTCCCTTTTGACTTTGTGAAACTTAATTTTTTTTTTTTTTTTTTTGTGATTTTGAGTATCATCTTACCACCTCCCATGTCCTGGTACCTCGGGCATGAAACATCAGCAGGCCTGCCTGCCATCGTAATTTTTGCTGTATTCGGTGTATTATATACTTAATATTTTCTTTGAACTATTGTTAATTACTTAAAAATAATCAATCAAACCTATAATCAGCTTGTGATTATAGGTTTATGGTACTGGATGCATTTTTTAAAAGCAAAACTTACAAAAATAACATTTAAACAGATATGCAGCACTTACAACTGATTTCGTATTCCATGTAACCTTGTCATCAAGATTGTCTGGATAACCAACGTGCCTGCAGTTCCGACTCGTCACTAGGGGGCGCCACTGTCTTCTGCACAGCAGCTAGGACAGACGTTGAGGAAGTCTTGCAGTTGCAAGCAGCACAGGACCAAGAGCGATCCAGCCATATCCAATCAAGAGGCCCCTTTCTGTCAGGGACCAGGCAGTTTATCTGGAAGCCTGCAGCTTCGAGGTTCCTGGGTGCACAGGCCTTCTCAGGGGTGACGTAGTTCCCCCTGCCCGTCCATCACTCTGCGCAGCACGCTGCAAAACACAAGTGTGACAGCCTTGGGCCTGGGCCCTCAGGGCTCCCAGTAACTTCCTGTAACTGAGGGAAATAGAAAAGCCACTTCCGGGCTGAGGGGCTGCATTTCTGGAACCCTGCTCGTGTTGCCGCAGCAGCTTTCAGCTTGAGCCACTTAGAGCTGTTTACTGGGGGTAAGGGTAAGGTGGGGGAGGGAAGTGGAGTGAGGGGGGTGGGGTAGAAGAGGTGGAAGTGGGGTAAGGGGAGTGGGGGTGGGGGTACACAATTCTCTGGGGACGGTGAGGAAAGCCATTACTGAGATTCAGACCAGCCTGGTCTACACAGTGAGTTCCCTGTTAGTCAGAGCTACGAGGTGAGACCCTGTCTCCCAACAAAAACTAAAACAAAAGAAAGAATGAACTTTGGAATGGCGAGCCCAGGACCTGGTTGTGTTTACGGCCTTGCCAGGTCAGACCAGGAGGATCCAGTAGTGTGAAGCACAATTGTGCTTCATAATACTGGCCGGCACGTGTGCCTCAGTGCCTACCTCCCAAACACAGCGTGCTCACCGAGCACACCGTGTCTTTAATTTTCTTATTAATGTTTTAGTTTAAGTTGTCGGTTTATTGTTACTTTTCAGAGGAATGCTCATCCATTAGCTGGTGACAATGGACCGGATGTGAGGACATAAGGCCTCAGTGCAAGGCACTTACTGCTACCACAGTCGTCCTTCACAGGAAGATTGAGCTATCTTTTTCTGGGACCTTTGGAGATGTCTTATTTCCAGCATTAACACACTCCCTGTTTTTACAGGAAAAGCCTGGTTGTCCTTCTTGGGGAAGGTAAGTAAGTATTCCCTATGACTCTCACTTCTGGCAGTTCTTGCCACTTCATTTGCTTAAGCAGATACTAAGTAGGCTTGATAGCAGGTGGCCCTGGCACACTCTGGATGTTTGCCTCTCTGTCCCCTAACTTAATTAGTAATTTAATGAGGGCTACAGCAATTGGGATAGACCAAGGGATGGGAAATTAACCTCAGGGATAATCTAAATGTTTTTTTATTTTAGTCTTTCTTTCACAAGATTTTTTCCATATTAGAATCATTTAACAAATATTTATCGATGTTGCTCTGTTCCATATAGTATTCATTCGTTTGAAGTGTACCGAATAGAACACAGACCTTAGCCTAGAGTGTGTGTGAGCGGGATGGGTCGGTTACGGTATTATGTAGGTAGTTAATATATGCTCATTACAAAGTCAAGATTTAAACAAGGCTAAAAGAATAGGATGAGAAAGCCATGTGGAGATCTGAGGAAACAGGGTTCCAGAAAGCGAAGAAAAAAAAAACAAAAACAAAAACAGAGCAGTTACAGTTACATTAGCTCCTTTTTAGATAAAATAATTGATCCCAGGGAAAATGAAGTAGATTGTATGAGGTTGTTGACAAAGCTGGTGTAAGTCCACCTCTTCATTCTTGTCCTGTGTTCACCCACAGATCACATTGCCTCTGTCTTTGTAGTAAACCTTTTTTGTCCATAACTTGCTAAGTAGTGGCTATTGTCTCCTGGGGTACTTCTCTCTGTCGGGAAAGGCCCAGCTGTCTCTGGTCTGTCTTTTGTCTGTGATCTATGTGTGTATTTATTTTGCTAAGGGCTACAGATGGCAGAAATGAGGCACAAGGTATGACCCTTCACTCTGAAGGACTCATTTGGACATAAACAGTTTTATCCGTCATTGTTCTCTTGTTCAACTACTTTACCTATTTTTCCTCCCACAGGCCCACTATCCTTCTTTTTCCAGTTTGAAATTAGGTCAGGCTCTTAATCTTGATTCCCAGTCTTGGTTTTCGAATTCCTCCCAAGTTCCTTCCGATTCTATTTATTAACTGATCTTCTCAGTTTCCCACGTTAATAAGTCTTTACTACCTCTACCCTGTGTAGGACCGGTGTGTAAGGCTGGGTTCATGCTTCGCTTGGTACTATTCAGTTATGTTTCTCACGAACCCTCATTAGTCCTGTAAGCTCCCCTGTCTCCCCTGTTGCACTCTTCACTTGACTTGAGAATCCGTGTCATTCTGTTTGGAACTTATATCTCTTGGACACTTCTTGATCCCTTTGAGTTGTGGGGAATGAGCCTGAGTCATATCTGCTTCTGGCTGTGAGATCTTTCAAGTACCAACTCCCTTTCTCTCCTGCCCACACATGCTGAGAGGAGACTGTGCTGCCTTATGTTAAAGTCAGAGTCCCAGATTATGGCACCTGTGAAACAACAGTGAGGCACAGAACAGTAGTTTTAGATAATTATCAGAGTCGTATGTATGAGAGGAGAGCATGGGAACTCAGCGTAGAAGAATGAGGAAGATGGAACTTCCTGGTCTTGAAGAATAAGCAGAATTAATGGTTGTTAAGGGAAGAACAGGGCGGAAGGACAACATGATCTATGTGGGCCAAT